AATAAACTCTTTATTCCCCAAGTTGCTTTTGGTCATGGTGTTTTATCACAGCAATAGAAACGATAACAGGCACACGTGTATGTACAGGTGCACATGTGTGTGCAGGTGCACATGTATGTACAGATGCATATGTGTGTACAGGCACGCATGTATGTACAGTAGCACATGTATATACAGGCACACATGTATGTACAGGTGCACATGTGTGTACAGGTGCACGTGTGTGCCTGTAGAGGCATGAAACTGGCATTGGAGAGCAACTACTCTCCACCTTGTTCTTTGAGGCTGGGTCTCTCAGTTAGCCTAGCTGTCCAGCTTGTTCTGGGGTGTCCCCACCTTCTGAACCCTGGAATTACTAGAGAACTGCCATTCCACTGGAATATATGTGGGTTCTGGGGATCTGAACCCTGATCTTCAAGCTTATAGGGAGGTACCTTACCCATGAGCTGTCTCTTGTGCCCTAAGACTTGTGATTCTTGACCTGGAAGCTGACACAGCTACCCTGTCCTGTAGCTCGCTGAGCCTGGGGACTTCAGAGACAATCCTTGTCTCTCCGCATCATTGTTCCCGATGCCAGTAGTGACCTGGCCAGATGTCCTGACACCTCCCTCCCGGCTCCCCAGAAAGCTCTGGACAGGAAGACAGCCATCTAGCCTTCACTGTGGGTGACTGCCATATACATCAGATGTGCAGAGTTTCAGCCACTGCTGTGGCTACAGCAATCCGTGTTCATAGTCAGCGGTGGCTGCTGGCCTATGTTCCTGGCTGGGGACTGCTCTGAAGGGTGGCGTGTGATAGGCCAAACCCACATGGAAACCCAGGCAGCTCCTCAGAAACAGTTCTATTTTCAGATTGGAAGCTAATGCTCAGAGAGGGCGAGGGACAGGCAAAAGAAAGCAGAGCCAGCAGTTTTCAGGACCTGCATGGTTGGTACTGGGTTCGTAGCAGGACCACCCCGCCCTTCCTCTTTCCAGCGACCAGCCCCTCGCCCTCCCCACCATGAGCTCTGCTTTCTTAGCCATGGTGGGAGTTCCCACCACTCTTTCAGGAGCTCGAAAGTCCACCAACGGCAACTCGTGCTGAAGTGAGAGCTGAAATTCCTGCTAGACTTTGCTCTGTCCTCATCAACTTCTGAACAGCTGGCTCCTGTCCCACGGTTTCACTGACCAACAGAATCCAGAGAATCCGAGGCAACAGGGTCGCTAGAGCTGAAGCCGTCTGATTCCACAAACCTGACCCTTCACATAGCCTGGTCACTGACGATGCCTCTGTGAGTCAGAACCCTGCTTTCTTGTTCTACTGGCCACCAAGCTCTCCTTCTCCCCCCACTAGTCAAATGTGTCTTCACCTCCTGGGGTTGATGCTGACATCTTGACTTCGTCTATTTTATGCTGAAATAATGGAATGCTAGACAATGGGTAATACACAAAGAAAAGGGATTTCCCAGGCTCTGCTATCCAAGGCGAAGGACCTGGCCTGGTGAGATGCAGAGGCAGAGGGCAAAACACACACAAAGGAGTGGAGCCTGAGAGGCTGTGCAGATGGCTCAGCTGGTAAGGTGCTTGCATTGAAAACATGAGGTCCTGAGTTCAAATCCCCAGACCCCACATGAAAGGCCAGTGGTGTGTGCTTATAATCCCAGACTTGGGAAAGTGGAGATGGGATGTTCTCTGGGGTTTGCTGCAAGCAAGCATAGCCCAGTTGTCATGGTCCAGGCCAGTGAGAAATCCTGCCTCCAAAACCACGGTGAATGGTGTCTAACCAGTACAGAGAAGTCAGCCTCAAACCTATATCCCTACATACCCATACTTACACATGGGTACACACAGCTGCACACACTCACACACATAGGGAGACACACACACACACACACACACACACACACACACACACACCCTGGGGAAGGGGTCACTGATTCAGGGGCAGAATCAGCAGAACCCTGAGCCCCCTCTAATAAGCAACCTGCCCACACAATTGCTGTGTTAACCTGGCAGGATTGACTCGCCCAGTCTTGCTTCTCAACATGGCTGCTTGTGGTGTGCCCTTTAACTCTGAGGATGCATTGATACCAGGCTGGTTTCATGAACCTCCCCACTGCCCCATGATGCAGTTTGGTGGGGAGCATTCCTTCACAGGGGACACCTGGAGCCAACTTTATCCTCACCTCTCCCCCAGTGAGAAGCATATAATAGAGCCAGGCCCACTGTGGGGCGGGCATTCTGCAGAGGAGGCTGGCAAGTAGCATCAGCCATCCCCTGAGAAGCAGGGGGGTGGCTGCTCCCTGCTCATTGCAGCACAGACTGGAGGCTGTTCCTGGAGGGTTAGGAAAGAGACCCAGCCTGGCCACAGCCAAGCCCTAAGATGCTGGAAGGCAGCCCATCAAGTTCAGGAAAGCTAAACCTAGGATGTGGGTGGGGATGCCAGCACCCAAGGCATACCAAGCTCCTCTTCTGGATTCCAGATCCAAAGTGAGCATCCCCAGGGACCTTCCAGTTTCCCCACATGCATGTCATCCTATGTCACCCATCTGCCTGAAGAGCACTTGATTTGCCCCTCTGGATTCCTTCTTGGCTTCCTCGGAGTGTGCTGGGAGGCAGGATATGGCCACAGGGAAGACCATTTGGGTTGTAGAAACCAGAAGCACATGCTGGCCCCTAACGTGCATATACTTTCTCCCAGGCAGTTTCTAATCTGAGATGTATCTAATTTGACAGTATCTAATCTAATCTCTTACTAATCTGAGACAGAGATGGTCAGAGTTCTCAACAGAGGGAGCCAGCCGAGGATCCATCAGAACTGAAGACACCACAGGACATAATGAAATTGAGTGGTGGCTGAGCTGAAAGTTCCTTCCCTGATGGCTGGCTTTCCTAGTGCTGGGAGATGTTATGAAGGGTACTGGGGGTGGGGGGTCCTCAACATTCTTACCCAACTGTGTACCCTTCAAGCTATAATACTGACCTGCCAGGAAAGATGTTCCCACTGTTGTAGAGGTGGCCGGTGGCTTTTGGATTGGATTTGAAGTCTGCTCCGCTGGAGGGAGCTCATGCCTGATACTACCATCCTGGTGGAAGTGCACAGATGGCTGGTGGTGGTGGTCATAGACCCTGGGGGTAGGGGGTGGGGGAGAACCTGTTGCTGTTGTGTTGCTAAATGGATGTGAGGTCAAATTGCCATCTAAACACTTAGGTTATACACCCTGGAACAGAAGACATGGTGGGGTGGGTGGGTGGAGAGTGAAGGGAGATGACACAAAGAGCCCACAGGAACAGCATAAAGAGCGCTCAGTCCTACGCACTGCCCAAGAATGCCCGGACCCTGTCTGTCTCCTTCCCAGCTGTGCCTTGAGTTTAAGTCAAGGTGGACACTTGATTACCTCTGGAGTGGACTTGAATGAATGAGGTTTCCAGCGCTCTTAGCCTTGGCCTCCCAGGCTACAAACTGAGGAGCAGAGTGTCCACACTTCCCTCCAGCTGGCCTGCACAGAGCACATGCAGTGGGCAGCAACCAGCCCTGGGTGGCCCAGAGTCTCCTGACGGATGAGGCAGATCCCAGTGACATGGCTGTTATTGATCTGAGCGGGTTGTCGGCAGAGAGGAAGGTTGTAATTGCCTCTGTAGTTTCATTGTGAGCACCCGGAGGGAAATTAAAGCCTTCGGCTAATGGGGTGCCCAGTCCCCAGCCTGTGATGCATTGGCTCCAGCCAGGTCCCCGGAATACCAAGTGGCTGCTGGGGCATCATTTTTAAGTGGATCCTGCCTGCAGCTGAGGTCCTTTGCAGACCTGAGGAAGGGGTGGGGCAGGGGTATGCTCATAGAGAGGCTTAGCAGCTGTAAGACCACATCAGGAAGTGTGGGGGTCGCGAAGAGCCCCAGTCACAAGCACCCACCTCCAACCATAGTGACTTCAGTGTACACTCTACTGTGAATCAGACAGGACCATGAAGGCCTCTTGATGGAGACCAGACTCTGCTTAGAGCATGTGGGGGGAATCCTATAATTAATGCTCAAGGCCAGCCAGCCCCCTCTGTGTCCAGGGAGCTGGTTAGAAGCACCAATTCCCTGCCCTGCCTAGCCTGGCCAACGTACAGACTGGAATCTACCACACACTACATGGGCAATCTTGATCTGAGGTCATAACACAGTAGTAAGAGTCCAGTCCATGAGGTGCTGCTGTGGGTTCAGTGAAAACTCCACCACTTAGCCCTGATTTCCCTCCCTGCTCTGAACACTACAGTGCTGTCTAAAATCAAAATTTTACATGAACATGGTCGTAATACCACAGGGTTCAGGGAAGACATTCAAAACATTAATTTCCCTTAGTGTTTGTCCCAAGCCTGGGGACAGGCCCGTCATTCAAGCACAAATGACTGATGCAGCCAATCAATAGTCAACACGTTCATAATCTTACACAGACCCATTACTCAGGGAAGAAATATGACTCTGAGGTCATGTGAATGGTTAGAGAGGGGTGGAGAGGGGGTCTGAGCACACACGGACACTAAGGTCTAGGTCCATGAACTTACCCAATGCACTCTTGGTTTGATTTTTTTTTATCACCTACACAGCAGGAAGGTTTGTGGGTAGTGGGGTGAAGCTAAAAGAGAGTGCGCAGCCCGGGAGATCCGCCTCCACCCCCAGCGATGGGAAAGCTCTAATTTTCCTAATCCAACTTTTCAGAAGACCGCTATTTCCTGAGCATATGTATTGCACACAGCCCCGGGCAGCTGTGGTGGCTGCCACAGGCCCAGTCCCCATCCCCAGAGCTGAGGGGAGGCATTGAGTTTCCTCCCCCACCAGATTCCAGGGTGCTACATCTCACTTCCAGACAGCGGCATCTCCCTCCCTGCCCTGCTCTGAGCCAGCCCCATCCCTGTCCTCCCCTTCCAGCTGCCCCTCACCCACCCCCAGCTCAGCCCATCTCCTGGGCTTTCATCCAAACTGAGAAGAGATGGGGCGTATTTTACCCTGGGACCATCCCTCATCCCGTCACCGACTTACAGGGAGTGAGAATTTCCACCTAGGCAGACTTCTTCCCACTGTCAAGTTCACATCTCGTGAGGCGGGAGGGGCAGGGTGGCCTTCCGGTGTATTCCAGGGTTCTGGTGGGAGCAGCATTCTCTTGGACTGGGGGCTCCCATCTGCAAGATTCCTGGGATGGGGACACAGATAAGACAGAAAGCAGAGCACTCAGAAATGGCTGGGCCAGGAGGCTGGGACCTTGCATCTGCACACCTGCCCATTCCCAATCCATTTCTTAGCCACATTGGGCCTCTGTGTCCTCATCATCTCACCTGTGTTCACAGAATCTAGGAGGCAACCTTTGGTCACTGTGGACAGCTACACCTCAGGAGTACCCCCATAGACACAACACCCATTTTCTACAGAGGACACACACTGCCAGGACAGTCAAACCCTCCTCACCAGCTCTCAACTACGGATCCAGACACACGCAACCTCATCAGCATCACTATGCAGGATGTGGGTATCCTGGCGTGAAACCCATCTTGGCCACTTGTGTGACAGGTAACCTCCCCAAGGTGAAGGTCGCTCCCCCCGCAGTCTGAATCCCGCATCAGTGTGCTGCTTTCTCATTGAGGTTGTGGCAACTTCCCACAGCTCAGTTATTGTCTTATAGTTTGGGGTCCAGGAGTCTAAAATCAAAATGTCAGAAGCTGGCAAGAGGGAACATTGGGTAAAGTCTTTGCCCTATGAGCCTAAGAAACTGAGACTGGTCAACCTCTGGCTTCCCAGTGCATGTGTGCATGGTCGGGGGGGGGGGGAAGAGAAGGGGAGGGGAGGGGAGGGGAGAGGAGAGGAGAGGAGAGACGAGGCCAAGATGCTAATAGGTAACAGGGTCGGCTCTCAATAGCTCTTCTGAAGACATCTCCCATGGACTTGAGTTTGAACACTTGCTCACTGTTATATTTCAGAGGTGCCTGGGCCTCTAGGAGGAGGGGCCTTGCTGGAAGAAGTGGGTCACTGGCCTTCGAGGCCAGTGTGGGCTCCTGGTTCTGACCTCTCTCTGCTCCCTGGTCTTCAAATAAGCAAGTCAATAAAGAGGTCATGGAACCTGAGGTGATGATGTGAGCCCCTGAGTGTGGGCAGGAATGGTGAGCAAGGCCTGGAGGGATAGCATTCCAAGGACTGAGGCAGGGAGCATCTACAGGAGAAATGGAGGAGAGCTGCTGTGAACTACATGCATGGGGAGACCTGGGGTGCAAATGAGGCTGGAGGCTGCCAGGGGCCAGGCAGGGAATTACGGTTTCATTCTATGTGGTGTGGACTCCAGAATGTGTTTCTGCAAGAAAACAGTTTGCCAGAAATGTGGCGCACTCAGACTTGTCTTTTGCATGCTCTTCCTCAGCTGGCAGCCCTGTTTTGAGGTTGTGGAAGTTCGGGTGGCACTTTGACTGGAAGAATTAGCTGGGTCGGGGGCAGAGCTTTAACGGTAGTGCCCACCCCTGGTTCCTTCCCCACTCTGCTTCCCGCTCTGAAGCACTGTGAGCAGCCTCCACTGGCCACACTCCCTCAGTCACAAACTGAGCAGCCCACGGCCTGTAAGCCCTGAGACCATAGACTGAGTAAATCTCCCCTCTCAGCCGATGTCAGGCATTGTGGTCACAGAGACATGAGGGCAAGGAACGCATACAGAATCGGGCCTCATGAGGCCGAGTGGGGCGGGCTCGCTATTCACCAGTGCAGGGTCCTCTCTGGTCGCCAAGGCAACCATCTCAGAACTGTGGTGAGCCTCTTTCCTGAGTGTCCAGGCAGCAAGGGAGACCTTGAGCTCCCATGGTGCCTTGGGGGTGTGATCCAGGCTCTCCACACTCTTCAGTCTGTTTTCTAGCATGCCTCCATCTTCCAGGGATGCCAGGTCCAAGGTTCCTGATGCCCTTGTCATATGTACAAGCTCAAGATCAGAGCTGTAGGCATCCCCATTCACCTCAAATAGGCTCCTCCCCAAACCTACTTCTTCTAGACACTCAGCCAGCTCAAAGTCACTCCTAGTATCCCCTGGGGTTTCTCAGGCAAAGGCTGATGGTCCAACTTCAGCTATCAAAGAATGGAACCCCAGTCCTGGTTCCACTTTGCCCTTAATCTTTGTACCACTCTTTTTCTCCAACACTTCCTTTGATGGATTATCAAAACCGTTATTTCTTCTGCTTCAGGCCAGGCAGTGAGACTCTGACAAACAGATGTGAAAGGATAGACAGGAGGAGAGGAGTGAACACAGAGATGAAGAAGCCAGACCCTCGGACAAGCCAGTCCCCTCATACTTGGGCCTGTACCTGCCATGCCTCTGCTGGGTTTAGACCTGCAGCCTGGCATTCCTTGTGGTGGGTAAGCCCGATGTCTCTGTGTCTGTCACATGGCCTAGCAGGGAGCCCTATGCTGAGCCACGTTTGGTACGAACCCCAAAGCCTGAGTCACCAGGGCCCACCACAGCTCTACTAGCATGCCCACTGTTCAACCTAGGACGAGAGGCTTAACCTCTCTGCACATCAGTACCTCGCTCACAGTCTTAGAAGAGTTGGCAGTAGAGTCCTGGAGATAGGAAGAGTCCAGTAGCCATTAAGGAGCCCTGAGAGCTGGGTGCTACGCTGGTCTGCACATCTACACTGGCTTATTTTCATGTTCTGCTCATCTTTATGATAAAAGCCAAAACAGGGTACCGTGGCCAAACACAAGGGAAGATCCAACCTCCAGTGGGCGAGGAGGGAAGTGAGAACAGGGTCGTGTTTCAACAGAGTTCTGCATGCAAGGTGCTTGGGCAAAGGACAGACACAAGGGAAGAGGGATCCGGCTGGGCGCACACAGCCTGACAAGCCAGATGGCAGTGATAAGCTGGGGAGGGAGCCGCTGTCTTCTGTGAAATACAGCCAGGCTGATGGAAATCCAGGGGAGGGGGAGGAAGCCAGCAATGTTGATTTGTGTGAGTCTAGCTTGGAAGGAAGGTCTGGGGATGGAGCCCAGCATTCCCAGGAAACAAGGGCATGTCTTGCCCTATGGAAAAAGGGGTGCCCACCACAGCTTCCAAAGCAGCAGGAATTGTGTGTCCTTGGCACCACATAGAAATGGCAAAAACCCTCCAAAGAAATGCTGGTGTCCCACCATGTATCACCTCCAAGGTCTGCTCCTCAGCTCCAAGGAAGGGCTGAGCATGTCCATTGTATAGGTAGGGAGACTGAGGCCCTGGGGATGGAGATCAGAACAGAATGTGTATCCTGACATTGCTGTCAAACACACTCCTCTACATGCATGAGGGAAGGAGGGACACAGAGGCTGCAAATGCTCACCCCTCAGAGGTCGCCATTTCTGCTGGCAAGCCCCACTGCAGAGTGCCAAAGCACCTCATCTGGGCCTCTACACACAGTCCCTCCCCAGCCTGCTTATTGGTCAAGTTTTCCTGGGAGATGAGGAGAAAAAGTTTCCATTTCCCAGCCAGGCCCATCAACCATTCTGATCCCAGGGCTCTCTCTACCAGGTACTTGCCTGGAATGCCTGGTAGAAAATGGGGCAAGCTGTTGCTGTGGACGATTGTTGTCTACAAAAGAACAGAGTTTTTAAAAAACCATGGCATATCCATCCAGTGGAATACTACTCAGGAAAATTTTCTTTTAAGGCAGCTATGAAAGCTGCAGAGCTGGTGCAGTGGTTAAGCACAGACTACTCTTCCAAAGGACCAAGGTTTGGTTCCAAGCACCCACATGTCAGCTATAATCATCTGTAACTTCAGCTCCAGGGAATCCAATGCCATCTCTGTCCTCCACAGGCACCAAGCATGTACATGGTGCAGACATATAGGCAAGCAAAACACCCTTACGCATAAAATAAAATATTAATTAAAAAGGCAACTATGGCCGGGCGGTGGTGGCGCACGCCTTTAATCCCAGCACTCGGGAGGCAGAGCCAGGCGGATCTCTGTGAGTTCGAGGCCAGCCTGGGCTACCAAGTGAGTTCCAGGAAAGGCGCAAAGCTACACAGAGAAACCCTGTCTCGAAAAAACAAAAAAACAAAACAAAACAAAAACAAAAACAAAAACAAAAAAAGGCAACTATGGATTCATCTGACTCCATGGAAGACTCGCAAAGTGCTTTGCAAAGTAGTGAAGCCACAATGACTACAGACCAGGAGGTTCCACCACATGACATCAGGATAGGACAGTTTAATCAGCCTCCTAGGAAGCTGATGCTATAGAGACAGGACTGTGACATGGCAGCATTCTGTGCTCAGCTTTTAAAGTTCATCAATTTAGAGTGGGTGCACTTTACTAGAAGTAAACTGTGCCTCAACAAAGACAGCATCTTTTTATTTATTTTAATTTTTTATTGAGTGTATAAAGGTGAAGACAGCTGTGCACGCTCATGGGGAAGCTGGAGGATGGCACTAGATGTCCTGCTCTGTCACTTTCTACTTTATTCCTTTGAGGCAGGGTCTCTCACTTTAAGGCAGGGTCTCTCACCGGAACTCTCTGATTTAGCTAAACTGGCTGGTCAGAAATCTCCCAGCATCCTTCCCAGCTCTGGGTTTACAAGCACTGATGGCCATATTCACTTCTATGTGGGCATAGAGATTTGAACTCAGATTCCCAGGCTTGCACACCAAGTGCTTGCACAGCCACTCAGTGAACACTGAACGCTTCTGCCCACAAAGACAGTGAACTAGGTCTGGCTGGGTTGCTATACTCCAAGCTACCAGTAGGTGTTGCTAGCCAGCCCAATCCTCCCTACACCCATTAATGAATAAAACACATCTTTACTCAAACAGGAATGTTAAAGATTACACTGTAGCCTGGTGGTGGTGGTGGTGGGGGGGGGGGGGGTTGCTAGCTATACATCCCCAAAAGCTTGCCACCAACTGGATGGTGAACTTGCTTCTCCTCCAGGCAGGCAATAACATAATAGGCTCAGCCCTATGCCACGCCTATCATTTGAAAGCTTTCTGCAGGAACTTCACGGGACACAGCTGGGACACCTCTCGGCCTCCTCCACAGTGGAGCCTGTGAACACTGAGGTCTCTTGTGGGCAGGCCTATGGAAAGTCCCAGTCTCTGGACCTTGGTAGACATCTCCTCCCCATCTCCTCACAGTGAGCTGAACACAATAACAATATTTTCTCAGCTCCCTCTGAGGAGAGAGTCAGGTGTTAA